GTTGTTGTTGTTGTTGTTGTTGTTGTTGTTGTTGTTGTTGTTGTTGTTGTTGTTGTTGTTGTTTTTGTTGTTATATTACCACTATATTATTGCTGTTATTATCGTTATCATTATTATTATTATTATTCTTATTAGTATTATTATTATCGTCATTATTATTATGATATATATATATAATATGTGTGTGTTTATGCACATGTCTAGCAAGACATCCTGATGAACCTGCGGAACAAAATCTTTGGTTGACCACGTTAAGTTGTTGCACTCGCGTATGTGCGAGGTGGGCATGATCGAGGGGCTGATTTCCTTTACCGCCATGTTCAGCGGCCCGGACGGCGCCTGCCTGAGGTTGTGACAGTTGAGAGTTCGAACCAGCGAGACGAGACGGATATCTTCATTGGTTGGTTGGTTGGTTGGTTGGTTGGTTGGTTGGTTGTGCTTGCTTGCTTGCTTGCTGATTTGCTTGGCTGTGTGTTTCGATGATATATGCATATATATATATGAGCTATATATATATATATATGCTGCCCGCCTCAAAACCCGCGCCTGCTGCTTCTGTAAGGGAAGTTAGGTCAATTTAGACAGATGTTACCAGAAGTGAGTTCATTTCGCAATGCTGGCAGGGTCGCATAGATGATGCATTAGGACTTTGCCACTCACACAAAAAGTGTTTACTGTCTTGCAGGTTATTTGTGTCATTCCTCCTCTTGATCCTTTTTCAATCACTTCGTAGATAAAGTTGGTCATAAATGGAATCTACTTCAAAACAAGCTAGTTTGAGTATCGCATCAGAAGCAAAATAATGTGCAGTGCAAAAGCGACGAACATGTTAGTAACAATACACAGGGTCTAAACTGTAATATGACATACATACATGTTGGAAGTTGTTAAATCGATTTTGTGATGTTTTCTTATGAGTTTAATGTTTAATTTGTGGCTACATGTTTAATGTTGCCTGTTCATAGTCTTCATCATTGTTATCCTCACTCAATTGACTGCAAACCATTTCTTTAAGGGCACCGGCGCAAGGGTATCAACATAAAGCAAACAATACCTCTTCCGTTTCGCCCACACATCTTCGATTTCTCAGCTCAACTCATGAGCAAGCCCTCTTCGTCTCTTAACTTAAAAGCCTGTGCAATACCCAACTCTGCTCACATCTCATATGCCTCGACCAACGGACCCGTGCCATGCTGTCTGCTAAAAACAACCAATTTCCCTGAGCGAAATCTGTTCTGCACAAAAACTTGCTAACACAACAGCCAAAACACTGATATTTATTGTGATATTTTTCAATATCCAGGGCAAGTGTAAATGTCTTTAAGTCAGTGTTTAAAGAATTAGATCTTCGGTGTGATTGTGCCGGAACTATCAACTGTATCACCGCACAAGTGCAAGATAATAGTAAGTTGCACACCCAAACAGGAATGATTGGAAGCAGACGCTTTGAAGCGTTTAAGCGTTTTGAAGCATTCTGAATCTAAGATGCAATATTCCAAGGACCCTAGCTCTTGCATCTTGAATCCAGTATGCGGCAACAAAAACGCTTCAAAGCGGACGAATTCAATGTTCCCAGGACTAGATCTTAAATCTTGAATCCAGTACGTCCCCTTCCCCCAAACGCACCGGAGTGTCTTATCAGTCGCACACGTGGAACACGGCCAAGGTCATCGGGAACGGCTCAAACGTGTTCAATCATAAGCGCTGTTTTGTTCCTATCAACATTCCCGGCCTTTGCTCAGGGCCTTTGCGGCATATTCGAACCAAGCAGCTGGCCTTCAGCATACTGCAGGCGGGCGAAGTGCGCCGTTGCGTGGGGCGGAGGAAATTTCAAGATGCTAGAAGCATGGGCTGCATGATGCCTAGCTTATCGGTTTCTCTAGAAGGGGCTGTGACAGTGAGCGCGCCACGTAGACGATGCATAGTTTGGACCAGCAACGTGTATTGTAGTTGCAACGCTAGTGTTGCTGCTGATTCGGCCAGCGTGACAGCATGATTCCGGAACACGAGGTGGAACGAAGCTCAGCTTCCCACATTTCAGCTTTCGAGCAGACATAGACATTCCGGTGGATGAGACTGTTGATCTAAGGTAAGATAGGAGTGGTGAGATCCGCATGGCCCAGGCATAGCCCTTTTTGAATAATGCCCTCAAAAGAATGCGAACGGCTTGCATGTTGAGGATGTTTGACAACCGGAGACATGGAGGATGGGTAACAGTACTGCCTGAAAGCTAAAGGCCATGTTCCAGTGCATATGACAGCCCAGTGTTTTGCAGGCCAGACCTCGCACCATGTAATTTCATTTGTGTGCCCTTCTGGCTAGAACTTCCCTGTCTCTGAACATGTTCTGGGCTCTGCTTGGTGCGTTCCTTGTGTTTGCCTTTGTCAAACTAACAAGTAGTTACCACTTTCGTAGCAAATCCACACATTGTTCTCTGATTCCTACGTTACCTAATTGAGGTTGGGGGCTCGCTGCAGGCAGTGCTAAATAGGGAATCCCTAGGGCCGAGCCAATTTTATGTCAATTGGAATCCATGTTGGTCAGGTGGAGCCGCAGATCTGGATGGTGCTCGTGATGCGTCACGCACAGGCCTCGCGTTGCGTCAGAGCGTAAGTGGCTTTGCCCAGAAACCACCGGACGCCTCACTGTTCTCAAGACCCAAGCCACCCCTGAGGAAAAAAACAACCTTTTGATGAGCACCCGCGCGACGATCGATTTCTGTGTGCGTCGAAAAAGACTTGTTTCCATGACGTGGCATTGCTCGGACCTTGGAGCTTTTGAGATGTTGGACCGGGTTGTTATTGTTTTCCTTGACCGTTTCACTTTCCGGTGCCGGTAGCCTCTCAAGGCCGCCAAAGTATGGTCGGATTTGCAAGTGTGCAAATATGGGTTTGTTTGTTCCTGACTAGTACCCGGTTTTGGTGGATCTACAAAACGAAAACCGCCATATTGGGTCCCATAAAAAGAAGACACCCATATTGTGCTGTTGGGACTTCGATAAATTTGTCGCGGTTATCGCGGGTCACCGCTAAGGTGACATTCGGTTTCTGGCGTTTGGGCCTGTTTCCTGGCGGGTTCATAAAGGGGAAAATCCTAGTTCGTGCGCCATATAGTCGAGAAAATCCCAAAGTCACACGATCCAAAGCTCTGAAGACCAACTCGACTGACATGCGCTCATTTGAAGATGTCGCGTTTTTCCCCAAACAGGGCCGTTTCGAAAAGCTCGGGGTTTGTGGACTTCCACACCTTTTTCTTTGCAATGTCCTGGGTGTTCCTGGGTTCTCTTTATGAATTTCTGATGGTTGCCCCATGGTTTTCGCATGGTTTTCCCATTGTTTTTTGTCCATAGGGTTGTTTGATGGGTGTTTCATGGCTTCTCTTGGCTTGCTATGGTGTTTCGATGGTTTTTCCAGTATTGTCCGATGGTTTCCGATGGTTTTCCGATGGTTTTCCAATTTGAGTTCCGCCCCCTGTCCATTCCAATGCTATTCCTGCACTTGTGCAATGTTTCTCCTTTGTTTTCCCATGCTTCCGTGTTCTTCTTTCGCAATTGTTTGCCACAAGGCACCCTTCAGGGTCAGGAAAACACACGGAAAACTACTGGAGTCATTTGACCTGCATTTTGGGCGAAGAGATCCTGTTTGAACAAACGCAAAACTATATATCCCACTATATTTTTATATGTGCCTGAAGTCGTGAGTGACTGAGTTGTTTGCGCCCTCATTTCGTGACTTTTGCTAGTGCAACAACATTTGATCATTCGAGTTGAATGGGCATGATTAGGGAATGAGATGTTTGAGTGGGTCAAGTCGAGGATTTTAATGCCCTTTGCCGTCACTGCTGGCCGTTGGGGCCCGAAATGAGAGCATTGGCTATCAGCTTGGCACAGTGAGGCAGATTTTCAGTGATGTTTGCCGTACGCATTTCATGTTCATCAGACACTGAAGGGTGGCAACACAAAGTCGAAGTGTTCGTGTTCAGAAACCACGTTTGCCATATGCAGAGACATGCCAGGCATCGAATGGATGTTTGGCTCAAGCCATCAGTCAAAAGGGTTCTTTGCCTATTGCAGTTGTTCTTCCCTGAGGCTGATATGTCAAGCAGGTCTTGTCAGCCTATCTTTTGTGTCTTCGGATTCGGCACTCAGTTAAGCCAATGGTTCTTGGCTGTATCCCCCCAAAGTTTCTTTTCTGTCAGAAGGCTGTCAGGTCTCTGCTTCGGGTGCGTGACCTTTTCTCCTTGGCCATATTTACTCCGGTCCGACCTCTGAGGCCGAACGCGCCAAGGAATTTGACGAGGCTCGCGCGCTCCTTGCTGGTGTGTTTGCTTAGCTTGCAGATTTTTATTCAGTGTACATGCACACATTTGCATTGCTGAGGCAAACATCGGTTTGTCAAAAAGTCGGGAACCCCCAAATAGGTGGTGTTGCAGTGGTTTCCAGTGAAACACCACATTTGGGGCTCTCTCAACAACAGACGCACGCGCACACATCATATGTCATGGTGGTTCCTTGTTTTACCACCAGGAGGGCCTTTGCGCTGGCACGCTGCAGGCCATCAGGGTTGGGTTCTTTGACTGGCAAGGTCCATGAAGCGACTTGAAGGAAATGCACCCGCTTGAAGAAACTGACATTGCTACACAATGGATTAGACTCGCAGTCTCTTGTTGCTGATTCAAGTGGTATATAGTTGGGTCAGGCCGCATTCTGGGACTTGCTGACTCTACTTGCTCAGCTGACATTTGACAGCGGAAAGGGATCAATAACAACGGCGTGCAGCTTGCAGAGAAGTCGTGAATGTCATAGAGTTCTGGGCTTTTGAGGTCCGGTGATTTCCCCACAAAGCAACATGGTATGTTCTCTCAAAATGGTATTTCAACAGACAAGCCTTGGAGTCACACGCTTGTGTGTTCCTGCAGTGGATTTTGTGGCTCAAGACCGAGCTTAAAGGCCGAGGGCCGAGTGGATCGGCTGGCAGAATCGAGCACAGCAAGTGCTCCGAATGGCCTGGAGCGATTCCAGGCACGACAGCTGATCTTCAGGGCTCAGAGCCGACCTGGATGAACTTAGCAAAGGCAACAGTTTACACTGATACACTTATCTGAGCTTATCTGGTTCAAAGTGGTCGGGTTTGAATCACATTGAAGGATACCCTAACAACTGGGATGGTCCATGGTCTTCTGTTCAGAGCCCTGCCTGTTAGTCCCCTACAACCGGGAACCAACCAACAGCAACAGCAGAACAGCCGATGGAAGGAGGGATCACAATTCGACAACCTCAACGGCGCCTGTGCCTTTCATGTCGAGTGACATGTCATCCAAAGCGTGCGTGTGTGTGTGTGTGTGTGTTGAAACCTAGTCCCTGTCCAGACAGATTCTGTTCGAAGAAGAAGCGAGTGACGTAGCTTGGGCTGGAGTTGAAGATTCACGATTTTGTGGCCCAGAAAATACGACGTTTGGGAGCAGCTTGGTGCAAGTCTGCACACATACATGCTGGTTCTGCTGCAGCTGCAAGTCCTCAGCTTGCTGCCAGGTCAAGGCACGAATTGATGGCAGCGGCGCAGCTGGAGGACAATGGATTCACTGCAACGAAGCCGCCCAACAATCAATCGGCAAATTGAGTTGTTTGTTTGTCGTTCTGATCCGAACGTCCCATTTGTTGTGTGCGCTGCACCCTTTTTGCGTTTTTAGTTCCTTCCTCACTTGGGAATGTGGCAAGATGAGAGGCAACAGCTGGGAACTTGCCAACTTGAGATATTCTGTGACGGTGTTTTGACGGTACCTTTTGTGGGGTTGGCAAGGGCAAGTCAAAAGAAAAACCAGCATTTTGGCCCCCCTGTTTTTGAGACAAACCTACAATAGAGTTTGCTGAGCCCTAGTCAGATAGCCTCAGGAGCTGACCCCGGTCCTGCCATCCAATGCCCCTTGGGCCGCGATTGGAGCTGGTCGGTGAGTCCGCAACGAACCAGTTTTCACTTCGAGCCATGTGCCCGTAGCGAGTTGGACCTGGCTTCGGGCTTCGCCATTCTGTCCACGGTTGGGGAGGTGCCCCCTTTCTTGGGGGGTTTCAGATCCTCACGCCAAGAAGCAACGCCCAAGTGTAAAGCAGCCAGGGCGTTCCTACCCATCGCCTTTTGGCAGACAGCAGATCCCTCGAACTTGAGAAGTGAAGGATTGTCTCATCATCCCGTTTCACGAGTCACTCCGAAAAGCATTGGGAACACCGCTTTCAGCTGGGACAGCAGAGGGTTAGACAGCTTCCCAGCAGCTACATGTCATGGACTTTCCTTTGAAGGGTTGTTGAAAGGACGCCACAGGAAACAGTCCCAAAGTTTGCGAATGGGGATGTTGATACATTGATAGTTCCTAAAATGGGACCACCTTTGGTGAGTCTACATTTGTGTAACTCTAGGTGTTCCCCCACAATCAGGGATCCTGATGCTTTTTCAAACCACAAACCATCGGGTTGCTCTCTAGCATCAAGCCGCCTCCGAGGCAGAATGTCACGGCGCAGGCCGGTTCCTGCCTTTTCAGAACCACCAGTTCCCGAAAGCTGTGGGATATGAAGTGAAACATGCGATGCTTAGTTCGCGTATTTCTTGGCTCACAAGGGTCTCCTAAGGTGACCTTGCCTGTTCCCTTCTGTTTCAACCAGGATCTAGCAATGATCATGCGGCCATGGATGCCCTTTAGTCAGCATTTGTCAGTAATTGGTTCCCACCCACTGGCTCACAAGGGTCTCCTAAGGTGACCTTGCCTGTTCCCTTCTGTTTCAACCAGGATCTAGCAATGATCATGCGGCCATGGATGCCCTTTAGTCAGCATTTGTCAGTAATTGGTTCCCACCCACCAGAGTTTTAATTTCAAGCTGGCAGAGAGGTGAGAAACTGTGTTTCAATTGCTTGTTAGCCATCCCAACAAGTGTCAATTTGGTCCAAAAGGGATGGTTTGTCAAGCTATTGGAGGCCTAGGACAAACCATTGTGCAGACTCTTTTTGTATTTCTTTCTCTTTCTTTGTCTTGTCCAATTGTTTTTTTTCCGTCTTTTAACTCTCTCTCTCTCTCTCTCTTTCTCTCTCCGTCTCCAATCCCACGCGCAGACGATGAAGCTGATCTAGCGCGCTGCATCGAGCATCTCGGCCAAACTTGCAGGCGACTGCCAGACGCAGCACCAAAGGCCCATCGATCGGCCAACTGCCGCAACCCCTGGTTTCAAGCAGGATGCTCTCCAGATACCCCCAAAAACGACTTTTGAGTACCTTGGTTTCACTCTTGACTGAGCACAGTTCTCAATGGCCGTCGCTAATCGGCCAACCTTGAAGACTGATGGTCGGCTTGCATCTGGCATTGCCATGAATTGCGATTCAAGGCTCACCTTCTAACATGGTCCAGTGTGAGAAATTGGCTTTAGAGCCACTTGTGGATGCGAACGCTGCCAAACTATTGCCCATGTCTTTATGTTTTTGTGCCTATGCATTCATTTCCTTGCAGCACCCTGGAAATTGGCACGAAGCGCATCCATTCGAGTTTGTCGCAAATATAGGGGAACCCCCGGCATGCTTGATTTCCTTTTGGGCTCCCTTTAAACCAACCCGGCAAAGGTACCCTCAACAAAAGACACACCCATTCTGAAAAGCGCCTTCGCGAGTTGAGCAGTTTTTGTGACCGAGCTGCGACTCACCTTCCAAACAGAATCCCACTCAGGAGATGCAAAGGACTCAGATGCATGGAGCGGATGTTCCGTGCGTCAAGGAACAAAGCAATTTGGGTGAAGCGGCAGTTGGGGTGCATTCATTTGACACTTTGCGCGGGCTTTGTTTTTCGGACTCACTCTGCTTCTTGTTGGTTGCCTTTCGGGCTTGCCTTTTAGGCCTCCTTGAAAAAAATAGAGGGAGCCCCAAGTGAAGATTTCTTGGACTGTGGGCCTCTTGGCTTCGACACCGGCATTGAGAAAAGAGGGGTGGACGGGCGAGCTCCGCTCCCTCAGGCAAGCCGTCGCCGAATTTTTGCACCCAAGCAAAGAGGACAACTTGCAGCCGGAGGCCGGGCGGCGTCTCACCCGATACCGTAATCATCAAAGGAAGTTTAGAAGAAACTCCTGGTACGGAAACCAATTGAAGGATAGCTCGCACAGATAGATAGTTTTAGAAGATCGGATAACGCATGCGAAAAGATAGCTCTTGCGGATAGCTTTCAGAAGAACAACCAAGCGTATGCAAATAGCTTGCAAGCAGAGAAGATGAAGAAAGAATGAGCGCGTGCGAGAGAACATGCGGGGGTGTGTGGTGGGGGAATAGAATCGCGAAAAAGAGTGACCCTTTGCTGAAAAAAGGCTTGCTGCTTGAGCTTGATGCAGCCAAGGGTCAGGCTTGCCTTGAGCTGCTGAGGTTGTAGGAGGTTGGAGGAGGGAGCTTGAGGGCCCCTGTGTGCAAGTTTGAGCTTGTGGGTGAGTTGGATTCTTGGGTCTGGCTGCAGCTGTTGGCTAAGATTGAAGATGTGATAGGTCTGGTGGAGTTGGCAAGTGTCATGAGCGGGGTCGGCAGCAGTTATATACAGGTGCATGCTTGGCAGATGTGTCAAAGTTTCTCACTAACCAAGTAGATGCAGTCATAGCGGGCCAGCATCGATGCCAAAAACCTCTGTCTCAACCTGTTTGGCACGGGTTCGGCGCCGTCTCAGGATGGTCTCGGCACGGTCCCGGCGCAAGGCCCGCCTCTTTCACAAGGTCAGGAGCAGATTTCGTGGCAGGCGTTTCGCAAGGTGAGGTATAGCTTGAGCAGGCGCAACGCTTTCGCAATTTCGCGACAGGCGCAGCACTTTTGCAGGGTCATGTGTAGATTCTGTGACACTGTGGCAGGCGCAGACTTGGTGCAGATTTCTCTCCTTTCTCCTTCTTCCTCTCCCTTGCAACGGTTTCTGTACCTGAGAGTGCGCACCTGACCTCGCGAACGTGCTGCGCTGGACGTTTGATTAACACTGTTCTATGCCGTGGGCAGCCCCTACCTGGGAGTGATGTTTTCTGAGGGGTCTGCAACAGAGCCACGGCGGACATTCGTTACAAACCTTGTTACGGACCTCCGTAGCAAAACCCGCCGGCTTTTTGCAAACCCCTCGTTACATACCTTCGTAGCACACCCCCATGTATCTTTGGCAACGTAGCTTGCAGCTGTTTGATTTGCATTTGGCATTCTGCATGATATGTCAGGTCAGGAGCCTTTGATTGACACGCGGCCATGAGAAGAAAGTAAGGGAAAGACAAATCAAAGACAAGGGCTGGTTACCTTTGAAGGTGTTTTTGAAGCATAGGGGCTGTTACCCTTGCTAAGCCGCGCCTCTCTCGTCAAGCTCTCCCGTGTGCCTGTTACAGACCTGCGTAACAAGGGCCCCCGTCACAGACCTCCGTAACAAGAAGTGTGCCGAGTCGCGCGTCACACACCCCTGAGAAAAACTGTAGTCACCTATGAAACGCCTTGTCCTGGTGATGTTTGCAACCCTGGCACGTTGACTCAAACTGGGTTTTCTGGAGAACTAGTACTAGTAACTAATATTACACTTAGCGATTCTCTTGTTGTTGCAGTTTTGGCAACCATCTATCAAATGGCTCTGGCTTAAAAGCATCCCGGCACACCGAACTCCGCGCTCGGGTTTTCCCGCTTTTCTGGAAAATCTTGCGTTTCACCTTAGCGAAGTGCGCCTTGAGTTCCCAAAAGACCTCCCCAAAAAAGGCACAGTTTGAGAGAGTTTTGCGTTGCGCCGAGGCGAAACGCGAATGCTATCGCTCATCCCCTGCCTTCTCCTTTTTCACATCTTTGCGATCGCAACGACAAGCTGCTCCACATCTCGCTGGCGCAGCGTAGCAGTCGAGCAGGCACCTTACCATGGTCAGGCGTGCGCGCAGCGCTTCAACCAAGCAGTCAAGCGGGTGTGCTTACCATGGTCAGGTGTGTGCGCAGCGCTAAAACCAAGCAGTCGGGCGGCTGTGCTTGCCATGGTCAGCCGCGCGTGCGTGTTATAACGAAGCAGTCGAGCAGGTGTGCTTACCGTGGTCAGGCGTGCGAGCAGTGTTATATAATGCAGTCGAGCGGGTGTGCTTACCGTGGTCAGGCGTGCGCGCAGCGCTTCAGCCAAGCAGTCGAGCAGGTGTGCTTACCATGGTCAGGCGTGTGCGCAGCGCTAAAACCAAGCAGCCGGGCGGCTGTGCATACCATGGTCAGCCGCGCGTGCAGTGTTATAACGAAGCAGTCGAGCAGGTGTGCTTACCGTGGTCAGGCGTGCGCGCAGTGCTATAATGCAGTCGAGCGGGTGTGCTTACTATGGTCAGGCGTGCGCTCAGTGCTATAACCAGGATATAACCAGGCAGTTGAGCGGGTGTGCTTACCATAGTCTGGCGTGCGAAAGCGAATCGGCGGGTGTGCTTGCCATGGTTAGGCGTACGCCAGTGCTACATCGGACATGCTCTCCATGGTCAGGCGTGCGCGCAGTGCTGTAGCCAAGCAGTCGAGCGGGCGCGCTTGCCATGGTCAGGTGTGCGCTCAATATTATAACAAAGCAGTCGAGGGGGCGCGCGTCCACGGTCAAGCGTGCGCACAGTGCTATCACCTAGGCAGGGTTATAGCCAAAAAGTTTACGCGCTTGAGCGCGGTTTCTGGTCCGCTGGCAAAAATTGTACTAAGATTGTTCCGTGGCAAACGGCAACAAAGACAAAACACCTGCGCAACCTCAAGTCTTTAATTTCGACCCACGCCCGCATATGACACGTTGCTTCCCAGTGGCTCGAACTGGTCGAGGGGTCCGATCGCATGGGTTTTTAAAGAGCTCTTGGGCGTGCGGCGAAAAGAAGGTGGCCCGCCCAACGCCCGCAGAGGTCGTTGCGATGCTAAGAGTTCGCGCCGCCCTGCAGCGAGAGCAATCCAACGCGCCCAAAGTCCACAGAGGGTTCCCGCCGTGTTTGTTCATGGATGATGCGATGGACTGCTCTGCACAGTGACAGACACATGGGTTTCCCACCATGATGTCAAGGGCCCTCCCTTCTCAAAAATGAGAGTCGCCTTTTTCTTTGCTTGGGGTTTGATGAAACATGTTGGAAGGGAGCTCTGCGGCTGATCAAGAGGTGGCGACCAGCTATGTGGCGCCCCCGCAGGGCACTTGGATGATCGAGGATTTTTTCGTCAAACGGAGCAGTCAGAAAGATCGCGGGCGGGGGGGGTTGGAGGTACCCAAGTTTCGGGGAATGAGTTTGCAGTTTCGCAGATCTGGGGGGGCAGAGCGCACGAGTAAAAGAGAGATAGACCTGGGTGTATCTCATCATTTCAGGTTTTGGGGGCCCTCATAATTAGTGTCTGGCGTTCCTGGGGCAAACAGCCCTTCTGGTTTGCATTTGTTGGGCGCTGAGGGTTTAAGTCGACCCAGACTTCCAGTTGCAAAAACACTTGTTTCATGTTCGTTCTCTTCTCGGTTTTAAGGGATGCTTCCTCCGGGAAGCAATCAAAAGGAAAACGCCGGCGGATGTTTGGATCTACCTTGTCACTTTTTGCCCCCCCCCCCCCCCCAAAAGAAAAACGCGTTCTCCGCGGGGCAGGGCAGGTATAGAGACCAATCTCGTGGCACGCGGGCGTGTTTTTTGTTGGACCCCCCTCCCCCTCGGAATAGCTTGTTCCTTTTGGTTTCTTTTTAATCCATGGAAAGTGGCCTCAAAAAACAACACACCCGCATGGACCCCCGGACCCTTTCTTGTTTTTTTTGGTGAGGCAGAATTTTCTGAATGTGTGCGATTACTTTCCAGGTTGGGTAAGCGAACTGCCCGGTCAAAGGCAGACATGCTGCAAATGATTGGGGGATTAGCTTGTCGGGCGACCCTCCCAGAAAGAAATCAAAAGGATAAAAGGGGAAGGGCCGCTTTGATTTTTGCCCAACCCCTACTGTGGATGCACGAAGTCCATGATTCTCCACCTAAGATACTTGACGCCGGATAATGATTCGATATCCCAGCGTAAATACCAACAACCACTATGGTTTCAACCATGGTGTCATTTCGTGATTGCTTTTTCTTCTGTCTACACTGGCTTCAATTGGGTCCGTTTTTTAATAGCACCCCCTTCATGGGTCATCTTTTTGTCAGACCTTTCTTGAGCACTTTTGAACGGGACAAAAATGAACATATCCCCACGCTTGCAGCTGAGGTTCAACTTGCAGCCTCCGCACCCCTGGCACTACGACAAGCCAGGCACAGTCAGAGTTAAAAGCCGGCTGACACTCCCAACCAATAGGTGTCTTTATTGTTGGCGCAGGTGTAGATTGGGTTTACCATCCAAGCCCTCTTATGGTCCCAACCGCAACTAGGCGCAGGCACCGGCTTTATTGACAACGGTTTTGGTAGACACTTGGGGTTGTAGGTTCAGGTGCAGGGCGGCTGCTTGATTGACTGCTTGTTGATGTGCATGGGCGCGCTTCCAAAGGCATGCGGCATGGTTGATGGTTTGCAAACTGGTTTCAGATGCTTCGAGGCGTTAAACACGGATCAGAAGCGGGTTTCCAGTGAATGGAATGTGATGTTTACTGGGGGATGTTCAGGGTTGCTTCGACACAAGAGTAGCAAACGGGTTTGGTGTCCTCTGCGGACCACAGTTGGGGTTATTGCACACCGAACAATCGCCTTACCTTTTTCGAAGCATGCCGTCTAGATGGTTGAACGGCTAGGTACAATGCTGTAGTTTGGAGCTGTGACCGCGCACCTCGGGGCAATGTTGGTTCAGGTATAGGCTGTTCCGTTTTTCCTTTCGCTGATAGACTTATCCAGGGCCAACGTCGCATAACAGGTATCCTCCCGTCCACAATTGCCCGTGGGTTCCATGGCAATCAGTCGAATGTTATTTTGGATGTTTAGGGCCAGCTACATATGGGTATGTGTCAAAATAGGGAGAGCCTAAACATGGTGGTTTTCCCGGTGGTTTCCCTTTTGTTGCAGTATGTAGACCCAATACGCTAAGAGCCACGTCCAGCTTTGACTGTCATTGCGTTTTGGCTTAAGTAAAAGAGGCGTGAGTAAGAAGTCGGCAGCAAGGAGGGGTGGCTGAAAAGGGCGGGGGGGGGGGGGGCGGGAGCCCGAGCACCGGGGATTGCGAGTTTAACACCTTGGGGTGGAGCTGGAAGTCCTGGTGCATTCGGATGCACCTTCAGCGACGGGTACAGTTAGCATTCTTTGGTTGCAAGAGGGAGTTGCAATAAAGCACGTGTCGAGGTAAACGGAACAGATCCGATGTACTGACAAAGTCAGTGCCGGGAGCCCAGATGAAGGACACTTAAAAGCTGTTCCGGGCGTGTGTTTCTTGATGAGAGAGCAAAGGCTAGATGAGTCTTCTAGATTCCTAGGCTACCGCACTGCCGCGCACATAATCTTACACCCCCCAGCAACGAGCAGTGTTGAAATATGTAGCCCAAATGCGCTAGCAGGCGGCTCAAGTAAAAAAAGGCGCTCCGAAGCGACCTAGCCGAGGTAATTAACAGTTCTTCACTTTATTTGAGCCACACACACACACGTATGAATCACAAGCTGAACACACTTTGTTTGTTGTACCCCAGTGTTGGCCCACACCAGCTTGTAGATTGGAGCAGCTTGCTGTGGATGTAACAATCCATGGAGTGAGGGGAGTTGGGTAGTTGGCTGAAGGCTGGTGAGACTTCTTTCCTGCAGTCTTAGGTGGGGTTCTGGCCTGACGGCAAGTCCACGGCTCCTTAGCAACGCTAGAGCCCCTTGACCATCCCTTTGGCCGGACCCTCCAACAAGTCACCCGCCAGCCTGCTCGCCTTGTGGACCCCTTGACGGGCCTACCAAGCTGCTTTCATCTCAAGGCCAGACTGGGACCCCAAACGCGTAGTGAGCGGGAGCTTGTGACCCACAGGCCTGGCGTGCAAAATCTGGCGTTCAGTCCCAGACTGTGGCCACTTGCTCTGCTGCGCTCCCCTCGCGCCCAAGTACGATCAATCGTTCGCCTGCTGGGAAAGTTCACGTGATTGCCTGGAGGGGGGGGACCCTCCCGCATCATGCTTGGCGTGCTACGCGCTTCTGGTATTTCGCTTGATGCAACGCCGACTACCTGATTTCGTCAACACTTGGCGAGGGTAAGATTCGGTGCGCCAAGCGCCACCAAGAAGAGGGACCCTTAGCTGCAGAGATGACTTGTTTTGCCAATTGTTACAAAAGTGTGCCCCGCCTCGTTTGCCGCCCCGCTCTCACGTGAGGAAGGGTTGTTGATTGGAACAGCTTGCTCTGGATGTAACAATCCATGGAGTGAGAGGGGAGATGTGGGTGGGTTTACCTTGCCTTCGATTCCTGAAGGCTGGTGAGACTTCTTTCCCCGCCCGCCCACACCAGGGGGAGTTCTTACCTCTGCAGAGTTTGGACTTCTTCCAAAGAAGAGGGACGCTTAGCTGCAGAGGTGACTCGTTTTGCCAATTGTTACAAAAATGTGCGCCTCGCTTGCCGCCGCGCTCTCACGTGAGGGATTGTTTGGTCCCGGACTGTCCCGGCCTACTTGTTTGCGCCAGATGTGATGAGCGGCTCTACGCTGCCCACGGTGGCTGCAGCCCTTGCAGCGCAGGATCGATGCGGGTTTCCCCAACTGTGGGGGAGTCGGGTTATGGCCCGTCCCGGGGGCGTAGCGATGCAATTTGTATACCTGTACACTGTTCAGGCCAGGAATCGCACATGATCGCCTACTGTGCTAACAGGGTTCCACTGAGTCACTAGTGGTGTTCAGTCGAAGCCGAGCTGTTCTTTTTGTTGGACACCCCTTGGTTCATTTTGAGCAATGGACCCGTCGCTGATCCCTTCTGACAAGAGTTGGTTTTTTGATGTGTTCCTAACAGACCCAAAAGCTCCGCGGGTCATTGTGGTGAAGCGCAAAATTAGATGGAGGCCATGAGCGCAATCCCTGCATGTTTCGCATTCGTTGGTTTTGTATGACCCTTTTCTGGGAATTTGAAACTGGTCTTTTCAATTTGTTTGTGGCTTTCTAGTTTCGATTTTTCCGCCTTTGGGATTTGTCGTGCCCAGTGTGTTGTGTTGCGCTCTTTGTTCTCTCCAAGTTTTCAAGTTTTCACAGCGGTATCGCTGGAACAACTGCACAGCAACCCTATTATCCCGTTTTTTTTGACATCACAAGCATCAACCTGGAATAGATAGACAGTGTGGCATTTGGATTGCAGCAAACACTCAACACCAGTCCATACTGGTTCTTGATGCGGGGTTTGAAGTACACGCAATCTCCAGATGCTGCATTTTGATTGAATTTCTGGGAGGTTGACTTGCATTTCCTGTCCACATTCCTTGTGGAAGCGTGCACTGCTGGAACACCTGACCAGAGTTTTCTGCAACAGTGGACTCCTGATTGTAACGGACCAGAACTTGTTTTGTGCCAGTCAGACTGAATGAATCGATATTTGACGAACGCGCAAGTCTGTTCCCCCACTCTTGATTGTTTTGTTAAGGTCTGAAAGTCATCCAATGTGGTGCTCCCATAGTATGCGGTCTGCAATCAGCTGTTGGATTTGCTGCCTGGGCCGTGATGATTAAACACACAAAAAGAGGATTCTCCCACAGCCGGGACAGTTAGACGTTTCACTGGAGCTGCAGGATTCCGTCACGGAAGAGGCTCACTGGTGTGCTCAGATGCACTTTGCATACGAGGCGCAGGTCGAGCAGTACAGACCTGTCGCGCCCTGGCTGGCGCCATCATGTCTCAGGTTACAGTCATCTTCGGGTATCACTGAGAATAGACATGTTTCCCATTCGCTTGCAACCAGCAGGGCGTAAACGAGCGGGCCAGTTATGTTCATTGAAAGCTGGGGAGATCCATCGCGGGGATCTGAGGACCGCCGAAGGCGACGAGCTGATGGTGGACGATTCTCCTGCAACTTTCACTTGACTCAGGCAGGCTCCATCTCTCTCGCGAGTCGAAATAGCAGTAAAGCCATCCCATGCAAGCCGTGTGGACAGCACACATTGACTTTCAGGCTTTGTTGCAGTACACCTAGCACTAGCAGTTGATGTGTCAGCGCACTTTGGCGTCAGGCATATCAGAAGCTCAACGTGCCGCGCTCAGTGATTTTCCTGCCCGGCACAGATGGTCGACACGTCGCCGTGGTGGAGCTGCTGCGCGGTCGGTGGTCGGTGATAAGTCACAAGGGTTTAGGAAGCACCGTCATTGAGTGGCGGATTCAAAGTAATACTGACCGGCGTTTGCAGTTCCAGCGAGTCGAAATAGCATCGTACGGGTTGAAGCTTCCGCAATTTGACGGAAACAGTTTGGGAGACGTTGGCCTTTGTTTGTTTGGATGCGTTTGTTTTATTCTGTCTGTCGTAGCTTTTGCGGCTTGTGGTGGCGTTCGTTGCTCCTTGCGGCTTTGCAGGTTTACGCAGCTGTGCCTGCGGTTTTTTGTGGTGCTTCGTAGTCTCAGCAACCCCAAGCTAGCACTGTAATATACTGTAATCCTAACTTAAACCCATCCAAGTACATCCCACTGTACATCAACCCTAAACCAACCCAATCCTGTACCAACCCCGAGCCAACCCTAACCGCCCCTAAACTCTAAACTAACATTAAACCCATCTTGACCCTGGTCTACACCAACCCTCCCCCCCCCCCTGGGCATGGTCGAAGAACAGAATTCAGCCAACACCATGGGGAGCTTTGAGAGTCGAATGGTGCCAAGTCAGAACGCGCCCCAGATATCGTTTGTGTTGTCCTCGGGGACTTGCGTTTTGTTTTTCACCTTTTTGGTGTTTGGCATCCCCGAACGCCGAAGTTCTTTGAATGAAAGACCAACAACAGGATCAGACGGTACATTCTGCATCATTCTGCCCTGGCTTCGCAATCAATGACAACTTGCTGAGGTGGTCCCTGCTATCATCGGGAAGCAGGGCGTGAACACGAGGAAGCTTTGCCGGGAAGCTGTGAGTTGCAAATGCCCAGGGCATTCTTCCATTTGCCATGCGCATTTGTGGCAGTTGGGCTCCAACAGTGATGGTCCCCTTTTGGCCAAGTTTTGATGTTTAAGGACAACAAAGAGGGTAAGGGGTGCAGGCAGACTTCCTTTCTATTGGACGGCCTACTTCAGGTTGTTGAATTACTCTTCCATATCCCAAAGCGGTTTGACCTTTGTTCGATTTAGGCTTTGCATTCATCCTACGAGGCTGAGTCTGTGGTTTACTGGTTTCTTGTCCTTTGGGCAATGGAGGTGATTCATCCACCCAATGTCGCTAGGAGCATCTACGAGAAGACCGGCGCAAAGATCCGTGTGCGTGGACGCGGAAGTGGACATAAGGACTGGTGACCTTGGTTGTGTGAGCATGGGTTGGAAAGGCGGTTGGTCAAATTCAAGTTTGGAGCCTTCCGCGAACCGCAATCCATTTGAGGATGTTGCTGTTTCAACAAATCCTCTTCGGGCACAACTAGTTTGGTTCCAGGCTTTGCAATTATTTTTTGCGTGTGAGTCGGTGGGTGTGTCCTTTGATGCAAAGAAGTCAACTTCCAAATCGGGAGCAGCTTGGCCAGTGCCCGCCCAGGAATCTGCAACGGGCAGAGAGGCGCCAGCTGGGCTTATGGTGACTGTCTCCGCCTGTGCCTCCGATTTGTCGCCTGGTGAAAGCAGCGGACTGTTCCAGAAGGGCAATGCGTGGAGTGCAAGTGCATCCTTCCACTTAACTCATTGGATGGTTCCGAGGATTTGTTCCGAAGCATGGTGGGTTTCCCATTGGTTGCATTTTGCATAGTCATGAAGCGATCCCTTTTGGTTTGAATACCTTCAAAGCAACTATCCAAGTAGCAAGCCTATGGCTTCTTGTTGTTATGGTTGTTGTTCTGATTCTGGTTCTGGTTCTTGCTCTTGTACTTGCGAAGCTGCTGATGTTCCGTCGATAACTGTCGTAAACGTTGGGTCGTAGTGCTCGGACGATCTTGTTTAGTATATAGTAGGGCAAGGCAAGGTCGCACTAAACTCGATGATTGCTCGGTTGCAGATTTTGCCCCAACTCGAGGTTTGCCTTAAGTACTCACTTAGCCCATTGGCGCTTTAGTGTTTTGTGTAGTCTCTCAATGCTGCCGGGGCTGGAGGCTGTGACCCCAAGAGGAAATTGTAGCATTTGATCATGCAGTCCATCACGAATGACCTGTCCAGATCTGGCAGCGATGCACATTATTGGCTGCGTCCATTGCTATTGCACATGATTAGCTGCGTCGTGCTGCTGTGATCATGGTTGTTGGCTTGTGTTGTAGTGAAGTATATTTGTATGATGGTGTTGTGTTTGCAGCGGTATTCTACAGCTGTCTGTCCTAGGTAGCCCACCTCCATCGGAGCTGTCTTTTGACTTTTGATCCTACTGCTGGTGAGGTAGTTGCGATTCATTTTGAGAAATGTTGAGATTGTTTGTAGTATTCAGCCATTGCCCAAAAACTCTGACCCATGGAAGTGGTATACTAGCAAAAGGTAACTGGTATACAGCATATGGGGGAAAATCAGACCATTTTGGCACAACAATTCGGCATAATCATGCCATGTACGTGTTTACCATAAACCAAGAATTGGCCATAAAACCATGCGCATTTCAGTGCCCAGTGTTTCTCAGATGCTTCACATGTGTTTCTAGCAAACACATGAGAAGCATGTGAGGAGCACAGAGCCATTATCCGCAGACTCATGCACATCCAGTATCATTGCTACACACATGAGGGTTGGTAAGTTGCCTGCATAGCTTCCACACATGTGCGTTGATTAAGTGCTTGATATGGCTACAATACAGTGAGCATTGGGTGGGTAGGCACTATGGTTGTGACACACATGTGGTGCGTTGTTTGCCCTCATTGGTTACATGTGTGCTTCTGTGTGTGCATGTTCATATTACTGAGAAGATTGACATGTGCTTCTGACATGAAACTCCTGTGCTGAAGAGCTGAGCACAGGAGTGGCATGTCCAAAGCACATGTTACATGCCAACATGGAACATGCCCTGGCGCAAGCAGCAGCTGCAGCGGCTTGCCCTGCAGCATGAGGAGGTCTGCCTGGCGCATTTGCGAGTACAGCTGCATGGTTCAGAGCGCATGGCTTCTTATAATTATTAGACACCTCCAAAGGTTGTGCCAGGAAGGGCCACAGTTTTGCTATTTAAGCTTTGATGACACATTGGGGGAGTAGCAGGGCCACATGGAAAGGCATGGCATTGAAAGGGGGCCAATGCCACGCCAGGCAAGGCAGAGCTACTGCCTGCGCCCAGTAAGCCACTGGAAAACTTTACCACTGGACCACTGGACCATCTTGCTACCCAGTAGGCACTGTTGCATAACCCTAGTGTCGATGGGGCCTGAAATGGCTTGATCTTGAGGGTCCAAGGGTCTTGAGGAGTCGTGACCCTTACAGGATCTGCCAGAACAGGAAAACCAAGGGGAAGCCAACACCAACCTCCTCTTTTTAGGGAGGGGGCGCTGGGATTTGCTGGCAGATCACATGGCGTGGGTCAAAACCCAGAGCACCACTTTTATTGGGCAGCACCCCTTTGCTTGGTCCACTTTGAGAGAGCTTGCGGGGAGTCAGAGGGGTATGAGGATCATTGGACCCTCCATTAGGGTGTTGGGGGTGTCTGAATCCATCATTCTTGTCCCAAACCTCATTTACTGACCCCAACTCCTGGCACTTTGTGAAGGCCCTTATATTTTGGGTCTCGGGCTCCTAGTAGGTATCCAATATGTTCTTTTGGTTTTCATATTGGGTGGCATGCCCTTGGACACCTGCCCTTACCATGGCTGAAGTTTGCTTCAAGTATCACGTGGGAGGAGAAAACAGGGCGCTCTGCACTGGGCTGAAAGTGGCAATATATGTAAACCACAGGGTCAAGTAAACCAGCTTCAACAATTTCCTCAGACTCAGCAAGCTCATGGAGCATCCTGGGCCAGCGTTGGCTGCTCATGGGTAGTGGTGCCCCCCTTCCCCCGGCCCAGGCCTCTGCATGGACTATGGCAAGCTGACCAAACCTCAGAGTGCATGCACGCACAAGATGAGTCTTGGTCACAGTGAGGGTGTGTTTCTGTAGCCAGCATGGACCCTACCTGTAAGGAAACACTTCTTTGCTTAATTAATGAGTGGGGCGCACTTTCTGTGACGTAATCGTTTTGCAATAGCAGCGTGTCATAAAGAGTGTCCAGGCAATGAGAGGGCAGCAGCATGCCAGCATGACTGACAATTCAAACATGACGAAGCCCGGGCGGGCCTCCTCATGCTTGCATTGCGCAATCATGTTTGAGTGCATGGCTGACACTATATGACTCCTATGCACCACAGCTATGTGCTTGAGTCTGAGTGGTAGACTTGTTGAAAGCAAATAGCTTGTGGCATAATGCCAGTGTATGACAGACATGTCAGACACGTGTGAGAACGTGTGGGTAACATATGCAAAAGTATGAGAAATGTGTGAGAAAGTATGTAGCATATTTGATGACACATATGAGAGACGCATGAGACACATCTGAGAAACATATGATAGCAACTATGAGACGCGCATGAGAAAATATGACAAACTGTGAGAAATATGAGAAATATGAGAAACTATGAGAAGTATGAGAACATATGATAAATCTGAGAAAATATGAGAAGCTATGAGAAATATGAGCAAATATGAGAAACTATGAGAAATATGAGAAACTATGAGAAACTATGGGATGTATGAGAAAATATGATACAATATGAGAAATATGAGAAACTATGATAAATATGATAAACTATGAGAAATATGAACAATATGAGAAACTATGACAGACATATGAGAGACATGTACATGTGTTAAACACATACAAAAGTGCGGGGGACATGAGGTGCCTGTCAGAGCACGTTGCATAAGTGCGAGACATTATGAGGAGCAGTGCATGCATGAGATAAGCATGCATATCGTGTGGCTGCTTTATGCCCCCCTTTGGCTTGCGATATGTTCATCACGTACTTCTCACTTGACAGTGTCACTATTGAACACGGTGTTTGCACTGCACTGCAACGCTCATGAGGGGACCTGACAAGAGATGCAACTATGGGAAGTGCAGCATCTCACACTTGCATTTCTTCTCACTTTTCCCTTATATGGCAGTGGCCCTTCCCTGTGCGCATCGGTTCCGCTTTCCAAGGCATAGCTGAGGAGCACAGCGAGATGTTCTGAGAGGCTGGGGTGGGCAGCATGCAGGTCTAGTGCATGATAGCATGCGCACTTGAAGAGAGTTGAGGTGCAGCCTGCTACTAAATTGCCTGCTATTTGGCCCATGCTGCAGCAGCTCTTTTTTTCTGCAAGGCACTCATCAGCAAACAGCAGGCGCTCAGCAGGCACAGCAGCTCAGCACATCTACCCCCCTCCCGACAGCCATGGTTGTCTGCCTTTTGCCGGGGAGAATCTCCTTGGAGTGCCTGGCGGAGTACCGAGAGCTGGCGCAGCGGGAGAACGTTGAGCCTCCCTGTGAGCCAGGACCCTGCCTTTGTCCTGCCCAAACTGCACCCAAGGCTTGGCTAGCGTGTGATTCTGTTACATACAGGGCGCCCTTTGTGCTTTGCAGTCTCCCCTGTGGGTTGCCCGAAGGACGCCTGCCGGTGAGGGTGACGCCTGACTTTATCCCGGTGCTGCTGAAGCCAGTACCAGCTGGGCGACTTCAAGCTGTCACCTGGCAACAGGGGCTGTTGACTTTTGAGCCAGCCCTCCTTGCCTGACACTCATTCCCTGTCCTATGGCTGAGGAAGAAGTCATCCACAGGCAGCTCCAGGAGTGGTTGGAGGAGAACCGGAGAGAGGTGATGGAGGCTTTTGAGCAAGAGAACAGTCCAATTGAGCCAGCCTCCGCCCCAGTGCTTCCAACCAAGGATCTAGTGGATCCAGTGGATCTAGCGGACACAGTCAGGGACTTCCATCCACAGGATCAGCCACCCCAGAGCCAGAGGATCCAGATCCAGCCACCCCAGATCCAACAGATTTAGTGGAAGTGGACCTAGTCAGTGACTGCGACGCAGAGGATCCAGTGGATCCAGAGCATCCAGCCGACCTAGTGGAGGATCCAGCCACCCCAGATCCAGTGGATCTAGTTGATCCAGGCAGTGATGATGATGATGATGATGCCACTTCAAGGGCAGCACCAAAGATAAGAGCCCATGCCAAAGCCACACAAAGTCAAGGCTGGGGGGTCCAGAAAATAAGCATATTGCTCTGCGGGGTGAGTGTGGCCGCCAAATCCCTGATTCAGCTGGTCTAGCTCAGCTCTCAAACAAGAAGACCTATGCCATGTTTGATCTGGTGATCCCGCTGCATGCCTTCCACGATCCGGCGAGGGACACCAGGCACATGGGCACGACCCGTCATTCAGCTGAGGATTGCCCAGCATCCCAAGTTTGCTGTCATGCTGCCCCCTGGCTTCAGAGCTTGCTGGCGCGGGTTTCAGTCAGACGAACCTTTGTCAAACTTACTTGGCGCTAACTGAGGAGGGGGCTTTTTTGCTGGCTCCAGTGGCTCAAGGCGATCAAGACGCCACAGACCTTCAGCCTCTGCTTTGCCTGCAGTGCTGGTAGACACCGGAGCGTTGCTGCAGCAATCATTGTCCACTGGCTGCTGAAAAGCAG